GAGGAAATGCTCAGGGTAGAAAATACACTGAAAACTGAGCATGTGCCATAGCTGGCAAAACTGCTCTGCAAAATCCCCAGCTGCATTGGGGACATGGACAGAAGGGGGACATAAAGAACAGCAGGAATCCCATAGTGGCTGAGTGTATATGAACAAAATGTAATACAGCATTCATTGATAGTATTTATTGATGTGGCTTTAATGACACTTTGTCACTTGTTGCCAGCATTACTGTATCCCATGTAGTTCCTCCTATAAGAATACCACATTCCTGTATTTTATGAAACTCTTTTACTCTTTAAATTATTTGATTTTGAAAAGTATTATTTAATATTATTGATTTACTTATATTATTAAATTTTCTTATTTAATAAAGTTGCAAGTAGAGAACCTATTAATACATTCAGATGAATAAGATTAAATTATAAATAAAAAAAAAATAAAATTATAAAAATAAAAAATATATATATATATATATATATATAAAAATTAATTTTATTTTTTTCATTTATGTAAAAGAACCCAAAAGAAATACAAGTAAAATCTACATGCAACTAAACAGATTTTTTGTTTGGAGAAAAAACCCTTCACAAAATATTTAAAAAAAAAAAAAAACAAAAAACATTTTTAGGACCGTATTTGTCACATTTGGGTATGTTTTGGATTTGTTTTCTATAAAGGCAATATGTTGAGAAGAATCTATAAAATGATTGTTAGAAACATATTTCATGTATCTCAGACCACGCGAGACATTTATGAATGGAAAGACTGCACTGTTATGAATACCGTTGTGATGGCTCCCCTTCTATGTACAAGCGGACTGAGAACACTGCAAAGATTTGAAAGGAATCTACGCTAACCTACTGATACATCAGCAATACAACAACTGCACCATTCAGCTGAAACAAATATCAGTTACTGTGTACACAGCTCAGGTCAATATCGTGAAATGATCATAAAACTGAATTCACAAGTGTCAGCATAAAAGTCCAGATGTACCCTGATTTTGATGATCAGGAAAATTTACTTTCATAGAAGAAAATATGTATGTTTTAGTTGTCCACCTCAAGCTCTTTAACCAAGGCAATGCACTTTTAATTAGATTGAGCTGCAGAATCAATGCAGCCGTGTCCTCAGATAACTGGACTGCATTCCAAAAGGGGGGTGCACTTCTCTGGCTAAGGTAGGCGTGAAATTGATTAAGAACAGCAGTCATAGGCAAGCAAGAGGAACAACTGGCTCAGGTTCCAAATTCCCACTTCCCGATGCATGCACTCACATTCCCATATAGTATTCAACATCCACAGCTTGTGCGCCAAATGGTCCTCCTTTCAAAATTATGCACAAACGCGCAGCCTTCGTTCACACAGGTTACGACTGAAAAACTTTGCTGTACTGGATATTGGAGTTTGTGTCCATACAAATCAAAGTATAATGAAACACAGGACATAATTATTCATTTACAGGAAAAGTAGTCCCAGTGCTCTGAATAACCAAACTGAAAATGTGAGATTTTAAAAGTGTAGTAACAGAATTTTCTCAACCCCCCCCCCCCCCCCAAAAAAAAAAAAATCACACTGGCACCAAACTGGTAATGAATACTATTAGAGGACATTTCCAAATGATTTATATAAATGCATATAAATTCAAATAATCTTTCTAGTAGTACCATTCCCATTGTACATTTAGGTGCGGTCAGATTAGCTATGTTTAGAGGGAAATTGAATTGTGTGTGTCCAGGATCCAATTAAGTCTTAGTCACACTAGTCTTGACAAACCTGTGTTTATAACATATTTCCAAAGGGTTATAAATCGATATAATGATTTTCAGGGCCAGTGAGGTGGGAGTGCGCTAAGCAGTCTTGCCCAGCACAAAACAAGGCAATTTGCAATTGACTCAGTTCACACCATTGTAAAGCGGTGGTTTGCGCTGAAAAAAGTATGGCATTCAGCGCTTTTTCTTTCCAGCAGAACACGATGCGACGTAATCCACCGCATCGCACTGTGCTGTAGTCAACAGACCTGAATGTCACTTTTTGTTTCCAGCACATGACCACCACAGCCCTCTCACTATGCAGCCACTGATGTGAATGGACCCTTAGGACTCATTCACACGGGCGCTGTGGCCTGTCCAATGTAAATGAGTGCTTTGGTTTAGGTGGCAGAGGCTGGAGCTGTGTGTAGGCAGCCCATGTTCTCCTATGGGGATGCAGCGGCTGTACGGACACTGCTAATATGACAGGGGCGGGTGAGCAGCCCCGACCACAGACAGGGCTTGCCCCTGCATACCTGTCACATTAGGATGAGTGGCTGTGTCCCCATAAAGAAACATGGGCTGCCTTCTTGTCGCTCCGGTTGCATAAACAAAGCACTTATTCGAATTACAGGGGCTAAAGCGCTTGTGTGAGTTACATTGCTGGACCATCAGGTGCATTTAGAGAAAATAGAAATCTGTGCGTCCTGGAGCAGGTTAAAAGCTCTGAACGCATCTAAACGCACACAAAAACGCAACAGCAAATACATTTAAATCAGCAGAAGTTGATCTGGGAAGCATAACGTTTGTTTCTACCTCGCAGATACGTAAAGCGCCCAAAAACAGGAGATTAGTAAATCTGAGGTGTATTATTGTGCCCATTCAGGAAAAGTGTCCATTTTCTCCGACACCCCTCCATCCCCCCCATAGATTTCCTGACCTCTGACTGGCCATATCTAATAGTCCTGCAGCCCAGAGGTGACTCCAGCTCTGCAGAGGTTGCTCTGAGCCTCCAGACATGCACTCACATGTTTCATAGCCCCATTTGTAGTCCTGTCCAGGGTAATGGCTGGCTCCTAATTCCACAGACACACCTGAAAGGGACATTACTGAGGAGCAGGGATGCAAATACCTTGCTTTCTGTTTCTGCATTCCACAGGAACAAGGTTGCCAGGAAAATCCATGCTGCTGAAGCTCTCCTCATATCGGCAGCTATTTCCAAGGCAGAGGAGTCAGTGATGTGAATGTCTGAGGTCTGTTAGACACTGCCTTTCCCACCCTGGACCCCTCTCTCTGGCTCAACCTTCCACTCTCAATTTCACTCCCTCCCCACATGGGTCAATTACCTGCCGTAGTGGGACAACAGCCGCTGCGCCCTCTGCCGGACACTCCAGGAATCGGCTTCTGGATGTGGTTTGTATTTCTTCCAGCAGATCTGCATTAATAAAAAAAAATGACACTAGTAAGAGGAGCCTGCATAACATGAGCTGATAATCCACAATGAGGACCGGTCTTAATGTAGTCTACAACAGTGTTTCTCAACCTTTTATAAGTCAAGGCACATTCTAAAGTTATGGAGAGTCCCGAGGCTCCTTTTAAAATTCTGGACAGTCCCGAGCCACCCTTTAAAATTACGGACAGTCCCGAGGCACCCTTTAAAATTACGGAGAGTCTTGAGGCACCCTTTAAAATTATGGACAGTCCCGAGGCACCCTTTAAAATTATTGACAGTCCCGAGGCTCCCTTTAAAATTCTGGACAATCTTGAGGCACCCTTTAAAATTCTGGACAAACCCTTTAAAATTATGGACAGTCCAGAGGTACCCTTTAAAATTCTGGACAGTCCCGAGGCTCCCTTTAAAATTCTGGACAGTCCTGAGGCTCCCTTTAAAATTCTGGACAGTCCTGAGGCTCCTTTTAAAATTCTGGACAGTCCCAAGGCACCCTTTAAAATTCTGGACAGTCCCGAGGCACCCTTTAACCACTAGCCTACAGGGCACTTATACCCCCTTCCTGCCCAGGCCAATTTCCAGCTTTCAGCGCTGTCACATTTGAATGACAATTGCGCGGTCATGCAACACTGTACCCATATTAAATTTTTAGCATTTTTTTGAGACAGATAGAGCTTTCTTTTGGTGGTATTTAATCACCTCTGGAATTTTTTTCTTAAACAAACCAAAAGCCACTGAAAATTTTGAAAAATAAAACGTTTTTTATTAGTTTTTGTTATACAATTTTTGTAAATAAGTGATTTTTCTCCTTCACTGATGTGCACTAATGAGGCTGCACTGATGGGAACTGATAGGCTGCACTGATGGACACTGATAGGTGGCACTGATGGGCACTGATGAGGAGGCACTGGTAGGTTGCACTGATGGGCATTGACAGGTATCACTGATGGGCACTGAAAGGCAGCACTGATACATGACACTGATATATGGCACTGATAGGCAGCACTGATAGGCGGCACTGACTGGCACTGATAGGCGGCACTGACTGGCACTGATAGGCGGCACTGACTGGCACTGATAGGCGGCACTGACTGCCACTGATAGGCGGCACTGATGTGCACTGATAGGCAACACTGACTGGCGGCACTGATAGATGGCACTGATTGGCATTGATAGGTGACATTGAAAGGCAGCTCAGATGGGCACTGATATGTGGCATTGATGTGCACTGGTATGCACTGATATGTGGCATTGATGTGGCACTGATGGGCACTGGCATGTGGCACTGATGGGCACTGGCACGTGGCACTGATGAGCACTGATAGGTGGCACTTCTGGGGCCACACTGATCATCAGGGCACACTGATCATCAGTGCCCTGATGATCAGTGTACATGTCCCCCTCCGCAGAAAGCCGATTACCGGCTCTCCTCACCTCTCGAGAAGAGCGTGACAGCTCGAGAGGAGAGAAATGCCGATAACCGGCATTTCCATGTTTACATGTGATCAGCTGTGATTGGACACAGCTGATCACATGACGGAGCCGACATCTTCGGCTCTTTCTGTGATCCGCTGTGTCCGAGGGACACAGCGGACCGGCGATCGCCGCACTGCGCGCTCCCTGAGCCGCGCATGCGCAGTGAGAATGGTAGGACGTCATATGACGTCCTATCAGAACGAGAGAACCACCGTCATTGTACTATAGGGCGGGCGGAAGGTGGTTAAAATTATGGACAGTCCCAAGGCATCCTTTAGGATTCTGGACAGTTCCGAAGGCACCCTTTAAAATTATGGAGAGTCCCGAGGCTCCTTTTAAAATTCTGGACAGTCCCGAGCCACCCTTTAAAATTACGGACAGTCCCGAGGCACCCTTTAAAATTACGGAGAGTCTTGAGGCACCCTTTAAAATTATGGACAGTCCCGAGGCACCCTTTAAAATTATTGACAGTCCCGAGGCTCCCTTTAAAATTCTGGACAATCTTGAGGCACCCTTTAAAATTATGGACAGTCCAGAGGCACCCTTTAAAATTATGGACAGTCCTGAGGCACCCTTTAAAATTATGGACAGTCCCAAGGCACCCTTTAAAATATGGACAGTCCCGAGGCACCCTTTAAAATTATGGACAGTCCCGAAGCACCCTTTAAAATTCTGGACAGCCCCGAGGCACCCTATAAAATTATAGACAGTCACGAGGCACCCTTTAAAATTACGGACAGTCCCAAGGCACCCTTTAAAATTATGGACAGTCCCGAGGCACCCTTTAAAATTATGAATAGTCTCAATGCACCCTTTAAAATTATGGACAGTCCCGAGGCACCCTTTAAAATTATGGACAGTCCCGAGTCACCCTTTAAAATTATGGACAGTCCTGAGGCACCCTTTAAAATTATAGACAGTCCCGAGGCACCCTTTAAAATTATGGACAGTCCCCAGGCACCCTTTAAAATTATGGACAGTCCTGAGGCACCCTTCAAAATTATGGACAGTCCTCGCACCCTGGTGTGGGTGGCGGGGTCACTCCGGTGGGATACTGGTGGAGGGTCGCCTTGGTTCTGCTTTTCGCCGTTCCTGTCTCCCGACCATATTTTCACTATTTCGACAACTGTTTTTTCTTTTTTCTCTCCTTTTTATTCTTTTTTTTCTCAGCTTGGGTTTATATATGTGGTTAAAATATAATAAACACAGATTTGCCTTTAAATAAAAAAAAAAAAAAAAAAAAATTATGGACTGTCCTGAGGCACCCCTTAAAATTATGGACAGTCCCGAGGCACCTTTTTAAAATTGTGGACAGGCTTGAGGCACCCTTTAAAATTATGGACTTCAGCCTTGCTACCACTGAGGAGGTCACTAAGGTCTTCTATCTGAAGCCTGCCTCACCACTTGCCCCCTTGACCCTGTCCCCACACAACTCCTCCGGTCACCCTCCTCCTCCATCCTACACTCCCTCACCCACATCTTCAATCTCTCCCTCTCTACTGGCGCATTCCCCCCTCCCCCCTAAAGCACGCACACATCACCCCCAATACTCAAAAAAACTCCCTGGACCCCACCGACCTGAACAACCTTACACCCATCTCCCTGCTGCCATTTATTTCCAAGCTCCTTGACCGCTTAGTCTACAATCACCTAAGCGCCCACCTCACTGACAACAACCTCCTCGATCCACTACAGTCTGGCTTCCGTCCCCTACACTCCACCGAAACCACCCTACTCAAAATCACTAATGACCTGCTAACCACCAAAGCTACTGGCCACTACTCAGTCCTCTTACTCCTCGACCTTTTCTGCGGCTTTCGACACAGTTGCCCACCCCCTCCTCCTTAATAAACTACACTTCCTCAGCATCAGAGACTCCGCTACTCTCTCCTGGCTCTCCTCCTATCTATCCCAATGCTCCTTCAGCATTACCTATAACGCTACCACCTCCCCCCCTCTCCCCCTCTCTGTTGGGGTCCCCCAAGGCTCTGTCCTCGGGCCCCTTCTCTTCTCCATCTACACCTCCTCCCTTCGGCAAACTGATACACTCCCACGGCTTCAACTATCACCTCTACGCCGTATGACACACAAATTTACCTCTCCACCCCTCCGCCTCACCCCTTCAGTCTCCACCCGTATCAACCACCACCTACTGAACGACATATCAGACTGGATGTCGCTCCATTTCCCTCAGATTGAACCTTTCCAAAACCGAGCTCCTGATTTTTCCCCCCACCCCCGTGACCCCCCCCCTTTCCATCCATCACGACCAACAATGCCACCATCAGTCCCACCCCGCAAGCCAAAGTCCTGGGTGTCACTCTAGACTCAAACCTGTCCTTCCAACCCCATGTCCAATTGTTGGCAAACTCATGCAGGCTCCACCTCCGCAACATCTCCAAAATACGTAACGTTCCTAACACCCAGACACTTACTAAACAACTCGTTCATATCCCTTATTATCTCACGTCTGGACTACTGAAACTCCCCTTCTCACCGGCCTACCTCATCACAGACTAACCCCACTATCAGTCTATCCTGAACTCAGTCAGCCAGACTCATCCACCACCCCCCCCCCCCTCTGTCATTCCCATCCAGTGGCTCCCAATTGCCCAACGCGCATTAAATTTAAACTACTAACACAAACATACAAAGCTGGCCCATACTATCCCCTACCACCGACCTGATAACGAAATACCACCCAACCCGTAATTACTCTTCGCTCCTCACAAGACCTCCTACTTTCTAGCTCCCTGGTCTCCACCTCCCACCCGCCCGACTGCAAGGAGACTTTTCCAAGACTTCCCTCATCCTCTGAAACTCACTACCCCAATCCATCAGGACTGTCACGTCGCGCCGAATCCGAAAAATATCATACTTCGGATGCGCGAATCGAAATTTTTCCTAAAATAATGGCGGCGACATGTGCGGCGACGGAGCGGGGATGTCTGGGGAAGGCGCGCAGACAAGGCGCGCTGACCCATAATGCATTCCTTAATGACATGTGGGATAATATCGCATTTAGCCAATCAGCAGCCAGCCAGCCAGCACTGTGTAATGGTCGAGCTATAAATGGAGGCCATTTTATTCTAAAAATTCTAAAATTCTACAGAAGAAACATTACTCAGGGGACACAGAATTGTTACTGAGGGCCACAGAATCGTTACTTAGGGACACAGAAAACGTTAGATTAGGGCCACAGGAAATGTTACTCAGGGACCAGACACAGAATAGTTACTGAGGCCCACAGAATTGTTACTGAGGGGCCACAGGAAACGTTACTCAGAGGACACAGAATTGTTACTGAGGGGCCACAGAACTGTATTACTTCGGGCCACAGAAAAATCGTTAGTTAAGGGCCACAGAAATTGTTACTCAGGGACAGGACTCAGAATATGTTACTGAGGGCCACAGAAACGGTACGTAGGGCCCACAGAAACGTTACTCAGGGACACAGAATTGATACTGAGGGCCACAGAACTGTTACTTAGGGCCATCAGAAACGTTTTAGTTAGGGCCACAGAATTGTTACTCAGGGACAGACACAGAATTGTTACTGAGGGCCACCAGAATTGTTAATCAGAGGGCCCCAGAACCGTAGTACTTAGGGCCCACAGAATATGGTATACTCATGGACACAGAAATTGTTACTGAGGGCCACAGCACGGTTTACATCTGAGGCCACAGAATTGGTACTCTAGGGACAGGACCCCAGTATTGTTTAGCAGAGGGTCCACTAGTAATTGTTTACTGGAGGGCCCTAGAACCGTTACTATCATAGGGCCATCAGGGAACCTTACTCAGCGGACACAGAATTGTTTACTGAGGGCCACAGAATCGTTTACTTAGGGCCACAGATTTGTTAACTCATGGGACAGACACAGGAATTGTTACTGAGGGCCCACAGAATTGTTACTAGCGGGCCACAGAAACCGTTACTTTAGGGCGCCGACTGAAACGTTACACAGGGACCACAGAATAGTACAGAGAGTTGCCACAGAACTGGTAACTTTAGGGCCACAAGAAACGTGTTTAGTTAAGGCCACAGAATTGTTAATCAGGGAACTAGACACAGAATTGTTACTGGGGAGCAGAGAAACGGGGACAAGAGGGCCACTGAATTGTTTACTGAGGGCCAAAAAGATCGGATACTTAGGACCAACAGAAACATTACTCCAGGGACACAGAATTTGTTACCTGTGGGCACACAGAACTGTTACATTAGGGCCACAGAAATGTTACTGCTAGCGTGACAGACACAGAAATTGTTATTTGAGGGCCACAGGAATTGTTACTGAGATGGCCCACAGAAATTGTTACTGACGGCCACAGAAACCGTTACTCATAGGGCCACAGAAAACGTTACTCAGGGACACAGAATTGTTACTGAGGGCCACAGAAACTGTATACTTAGGGGGCACTGAATTGTTAACTCAGGGACAGACACGAGAATTGTTACATGAGGGACACAGCATTGTTACTTAGAGGGCCACCTGAACCGATAACCTTTAGGGCCAACAGAATTGTTACTTCGAAGGACACAGAATTGGTTACTGAGGGCCACAGAAAACCGTGACGTAGGGCGCACAGAATTGTTACTCAGGGACCGACCAGTAATCAGAATTTGTTACTGAGGTGCCACAAGGATTTGTTAACTGGAGGGGCCACTGAAAACCGTTACTACTCGGCCACCAGAATTGTTACTCAAGGACACAGGAAAATTGTACTGAGTGGCCCACAGAAACGTTACTAAGGGCCAACAGAATTGATACACAAGGGGACAGACACAGAAATTGGTTACTCAGGGGACAGACACAGAATTTTTAATTGAGGGACACAGAATTGTTAACTAGAGGGCCACTGAACCGTAATTAGGGCCACGAGATTTGTTACTCCAGGGACCACAGAATTTGTTACTGAGGGCCCACAGAACCGTTTACTTAGTGCCACTGAATTGTTAATCTCAGAGGGACTCAGACACACACGAAGTGTTACTGAGGGACAACAGAATTTGTTACTGAGGGCACATACAAACCGTTACCTTAGGGACCACAGAAACGTAAACTCAGGGACACAGATAATTGTTACTGAGGGCCACAGATCCGTTACCTTAGGGCCACAGGAATTGTTACTCAGGGACAGACACAGAATTGTTACTGAGGGCACATGAATTGTTACTGAGGGCCAAAAAGAAAACCCTTAACCCTTAAAGGGCCACAGAAAGTTTTCAGGGACACAGAATTGTTCTGAGGGCCCCAGAACTGTTACTTAGGGCCACAGAAACGTTAGTTAGGGCCACAGAATTGTTCCTCCCGGAAAAAGACACTGAATTGTTTTCCTGGAAGGGGCCCTTTTTGATTTTTTTTACTGGGGGGCCACAGAAAACATTTACTTAGGGCCACAGAAAAAATTTTCTCAGGGACAACCAAAAATTTTTACTGGGGGGCCACGAACTGTTTCTTAAGGGGGCCACAGAATTTTTTACTCAGGGAAAAACCCGAATCGTTACTTAGGGCCCCAGAATTGTCACTCGGGGACGCACAAAAATTGTTACTGGGGACACAGGAAAATTTTTACTGGGGCCACAAAAACCGTTACTTTAGGGCCACAGAATTGGTTTTCTTTGGGAACAGATTAACGTTTACTTAGGGCCCACAGAATTGTTTTCAGGGAAAAGACAAAAGGGAATTTTACTGGGGACACAAATTGTTTCTGGGGGGCCACGAAACCGTTACTTTGGGGCCCAAAAGGGAAATTTTTACCCCAGGGACACAGAATTTTTTATGAGGGGCCCCCAGAACCCCTTTTACTTTGGGGCCCGATTGTTTTTCTCAGGGGGCAGACACCCGAATTTTTTTACGGAGGAC